TACTAAACCACTTGATGGCCTGAGTCATATGCAGTCCTTGACTGCCAATTTTTTTTAACTTATCCTAATACCTTAACCTTCGGGTTGCCTGTGGCAATTCAGAGACTCATAAATATCGTCATGACAACCGATTTCTCATTTACATATTGCAATTTGAATTCTTGAAGGGCACAAAGTTGTTTTGGATTTGTGACTTTATATCCATTTTGCACTGCAAAGACTTACATTTTCTCTTCCGTTTTAACTTGTATAATCTTGTTCATCACTACAAGCAGCCATTTATCTGTAAATACGTTTCAGTCAAGTTTACCTGGTGAAAAGTGACTTCCATGGGATCAATGGCGGTCGAAAACAAATATTCGTCCTCTCAAATATTGTGTGAATTCTGGTCTTTTATTACTTGAATTGATTCAAACTTGCCGTTTAGTAAAAGATACAAGTACAATAGCATTGCCATGTCTGGTTTTGCCCCRTTTGGGAGAGACGATCAACCTCTTCTTGATGTAAAGATCGTCGGTGGAAAACGTGTAGAGGTTGCTGTCGACCAGTATGGCAGACCTTTGAAAGGAGAAACAAAAGCTAAAACTRACGATCGAACAAGGTTTACTCGGTCGTTATCCGAAGAAAGAAATGTAAATAATTTCAGATCATCTCCAAGTTCATCCGTACCACCGTGGATACGAGGAGAAACACCACCAAAAAAGGTTTTAAAACCATTAGAAACGAGCCCAGCCACTACAAGAAGAAGCAGTGGATCAAGCTCGAGGTCTTCTGGTATTATTCCTGCGGCTCCGATGGTACTACCACCCATTRCTAGGCAAATAACTCCAGAAATCAATTCTGATAATAAAAAACATTCCTCTATATTACTGGAAGAGGTTAGGGCAAAGCTGCAAGGTCTAGATACTGCGAAATTGAAGGATGCATATTTACACTTTTCAGGACTAGATTCGACTTTAACTGGGTTTGTARATGTCAATCAAGTTGCACATGTGTTTTTACAGTATAGAATTCCCATTGAWGGCAATCATTTAGATGCGTTAACATCAAAGTTCATGGCAGCAAGAAGACCAAACTGGGTCAATTACGAACAAATGTTGAAATATGTCAATAGTCTTATAAGAAATGAAAAAAGGATGGAAGCAAAGGTGCCTATACTTGACTTAAGCTCTCATTCAAGTGTCGACAACAATCAGGAAATAGCATTAAAACCCAATCAAGTGTCACCTCGCATTATTAATGATGGCAGTATAAGTGGTCGGCAGAGTAAAATACTTGTTAGCAATGCATTTCAAGACAGACAAGATGCTCATTTGTTAGTAGAGATGGAGAGACTTTTAAAACAAGTGAATAACATCAATGAATTAATGTGGACTTTAAAAGAAACCCTTAATGACGTTGATCAAAATGGAAATACTATMATAAACACACAAAAGGTGAGATGCTAATGAGTAAACAGTACTTACCAAGATCTTCCTGGAAAATTGAACCTATAGATGTCATGCTTAACCCCTCCCCAACTTGGGTGGGGTTGTGCTGCATCAAAACCCTCAAAACCCTTTACCCTGTCCCAGACCAATTTTTGTGATTTTACATACCCTACCCCAGACTAAAGGTATAAAGATACATTATTTTAGTGCTGAAAGTGTGGCCTAGCAGATACGATCACAGGCAAAACACCACCCTACTCCAGACAATGAGACTATACCCTATCCTAGACAAAAACCTACCCTATCCCAGACAAAACTACTACCCTATCCCAGACAAATAGGCAAAAATAGATATCCTATCCCAGACTTGGAGCTCCGAAAAAGGACCATATTGAGCGGCACATACCTGTATGGCAAATATAGGGGAGTACCCATTTGGTATTTCTGTCTCTCTAGTTCCTATACTTTTCTAGCTACTTCAGTATTATATGTTATTTAGTCTGCTGTACTCCTTTAAATCATTCAGTTATAGTTGAGTTCAAACAAGGTAAAATTTCCAGGATTTCACCAGTGTGGGCCAGATTTCTTGACCAGTCCAGTGCCATATAAGACTTGTAATTAAAGGGACACTGTCAATGGCACGCATGCGCGAGTAAACTTGAAAACAYTAGGCTAGTGTTTTCAAGTTTATGACTCCAAGTTGGCGTGACATAAATCAGATCGTAAGAGGTGAGAGGTGAGACTGTTACTGTGCATGTCATCCATTGACAGCGTCCCTTAAATTTAAATTACCTTTGCCTGAATTCTGTGCCACATTTTTTTCCATTCAGACTATGCTAAAATATTGCTTGTTTGTTCAGCTAAAATCAATTTGCCTAAGACATCATCTACCCTTCAATGGYTCATTACTGGACAGAATTCTGGACAGATTTGATCCAAGAGGAACTGGTAAAGTTGACTGGACAGAGTTTATAACATTTGTAGACAGAGCAATACCCTTGACSACCAGCAACAGTCCTGTATCTAGTTTCAATCAGTCTCGACAGAGTACAAGMCATAGTGCTGTGGATACACCTCCTTCTCGGCCAAGCTGGGAGACTCGACAACCATTGCAAGCATTGTCTAAAAGAGAACAAGTTATTCCTAAAGCTGCTGCATTACAGCAAGAACAGATGTATGACGAGCACAAACGATTGCTTGGTGAGTCTTCTACCTTTTATATAATATGGGAAATTGAGCAAATAGTCAGTTAAACAATCTATCAACGCATTCATCCAACAGTCAATCTATTCATC